ATTAGGTACTAGTGTTCGTTCTTTCGGCTTTTTGCGTCTGTAAAGTTAGTCCTTCTGAATGGCGATACCATTTCAAGATTTTGTATAACAAACTCGCTTGCAAAGTTTGGTTCGAATGCGAAGGACATCAGGAAAGTGGGGGTGTCACAGAGTTAAGCTCCGAAATTTTGGGACACCCTGTACAAAATTTCTTCAATGCCACTGCAACTTGATATCCTAGCCTCATAAGTTCTAATGAGGTGCGAACCCGCGTTTTGTCAAAACAAGTACCTCGGATGAGGAAAATGGCCACAAACCCCATTTTATCTTTTGAAACAAGAGACCTTCTCATTTTATCGTGTTCGAACATGTGAAAGTCCTTCAAACCGTCTTTGTGTCAAAATATGTCAGCTCGGGGACACAAAATAACAATTAGTTGTTTTAACAAGAGTTCTATTGAAAATAAGAAATTTTATGCACCGCTAAGACTTCATAGCGTGCTCTAAATAAACGTCAGTGTTCATTAGGCTGGCAAAGGTAGAATTTACCTCAAGGTACATTGATGAATACGAATCGCTCAAGGTACAATTTACCTTGGGGTAGAATCTACCTCAAGGTAGAATTTGCCTCAGATTCAATGATGAACACGGTCTCTGCTGGATTCCACATTTAGATTCATAGAAATTTGGCGGAAGTCACTTTCGTTTTTTTCCATTCTAAAACATCCTACTTTTGCCTCTGAAAAAGTAAAGAGCAGGGCAAACTTGGTCTCGCTGGCAGAAAGACCAGGGACTCTGTGCTACATAACTTTTTTTCTAAGAGTACCTAGTTCAAAATACTTTGGCGAAAGACAGTTATTTTCCTGCTCTAAGAACCTACCTTTGCCTCTAAAGGAGAGAATAGCAGGGCACTTGGTTTCGCTGGAAGGAAAGACCGGGGAGGCCTAGCTCCACGAAGGGACCAGTGACTTTATGCGACAGAACACGTTTTCTCAACATTCTTAGACTTGTAAAGGTTCTACTTTCGATTCTTGCATTTTAAGAGTTCTCTGCTTTTATCCTGAAAGGAGAAGAGACCAGGGCGTATTTGGTCCCTCTGGCAGAAAATATCAGGGATTCAATCTTATCAAGTTCACTGAAAGCTGCCTTAAAGGAGTTATGTATTTGTAGTTTTGGTTTGCCCTAAAAAAGCTTAACGCTTCTCAAGGCATAAAGATGTTAAGCATTAAGATGAGAGATCAATCTGTGCTTTGATCTAAAACAGCCGTTTTTCGTTAGAGATAATATCTTTGCTGTTTTCAGTGAAAACATCTAAGGATTGGGTTTTTGGGATAGGATTTGTGCGAGGCTGATAATAAAGATGACTTGCAGATGATTTCCCACTGTTAGATGCTTCTTCTTTCAAAGCGTAGAATGTTTGTACCATTATTTACAACTCGCGAGCCATTGGAAAAATGAAAGACTGCATCCATATCTGCCCCAACCCACTTGCTAGCGACGTAGGGTCGCTAGTCCTATATATTGGGTTGATGCATAATTCCTGCACCAAAATTTTTGAAATTTACTTTCTCTAGCATCAACGAAATCTTCCGATTTGCTAGGCAATAGAAAGGGTAAACCTTGCGCTTTTCGAATTTGCTTAAGCTAAAATTCTTTGGAAGCGTATGGCAGTGATACAAGCTGATTAAGAAAAATATCCAAAAAGTGGTTTTTTGATTTTCGTTGCTAAAATTCCTAAACCTCTATTAGAATCCAAACTTATTTTTGGTCTTGTCAGTATGACCTACTCTTTTTAACCAGGAGAATATGGTAGTGATTGTATGTCTCTAAGAATAGTTATGAATTTCGATTTTTTGAAAGCAACTTGTTGATTTTTGTTTGATATTGAATTTCCAAAATATACTATGAAATACTACATACTTTTGATATGCTTAACAGTGAGCTTATTATGTAAGTTGATCAGTCCGTTTAAGCATTTTCAAAGGGATTCTATATATTTTTGGTGCAAGAATTTTTCATCAACCTAACACAATCTTATAGTATATTAGGTGGGTCCGAAAGTTCGTGCCGTTTTTCAGACCCGTGCTTAAACCAATTAGAATAAACATAGACAAGAGCTGTAAGCGCTATCCGATTAAATTTCTCCCTCTTTCTAACGGTTATGTTCTTGTTCAGATTCCTTTGATGTCCGCTCGAATAATCGCCAAAATCTCTAACCCATGGTTTTTGGCCTTCCCGAGTTTCGCTAATTTTTAAATTTTCCATTTTTATTGGACTAGCTTCGATAACATTTGGATAAAATGAACAAATTACTATACAATGAATTGTTTGGCCCTCTCATCTGGCTTTTCAGCATTTTTTGAAGTAATTTTTCCAAAAGCATTTACTTTTACGAAGTCGTGAAGTACACAACCTCTTCAAACACTAAGAAATCTTCGGAATTTGAACTTTTCAAAAACAGTTTATTATTTAACGCTAATTTTAGCAAGCAACTAAGCATTTAACTGTTCGAAATATCGAATTCCAAATTTTGTGGTTTCAGCCTGGGACGAGTCTGGAAATATGAATTATAATATTAGGTGGGTCCGAAAGTTCGTGCCGTTTTTCAGACCCATGCCCAAACTGTTTACAATAATGATAGACAAACACGTCAAAGAGTGTTCAGTGCAGAATTTCTTCCTCTTTCTAGCGGTTATGTTCTTGTTCAGATTTCTTTGATGTCCGCTCGAATAATCGCCAAAATCTCCAACCCATGGTTTTTACTTATCCTGAGTTTCGCTATTTTTTAAAATTTCCATTTTTAACTTTCGGATCAGCTTTGATAACAGTTGGATAGAATAAACAAAATTCTATACAATGAACTATTTTGGCCCTCTCAACTGGCTTTCCAGCATTTTTGAAGCAATTTTTCCGAAAGCATTTACTTTTACGAGGTCGTGAAATATACAACCTCTTCAAACACTGAGAAATCTTTGGAATTTGAACCTTCCAAAAACATTTTTTTACTTAGCGCTAACTTTAGCAAGCAACTGAGCGTTTAGCGGTTCGAAATATCGAATTCCGAATTTTGTGGTCAGCCTGGGACGAGTCTGGAATTATGAATTATAATGATTTTATCCTGAAATATCGTGCAAGTCAGGAAGAAAAGAAGCTTATTTGAAAGTGGTCAAAAAGTTGCATAGAATGACACCCTGGTTGCTCTCCGTATATTGTTCTGTGAGGATTGGGATGGCCCAATATGGAATTTAATAGCATCAGAAAAACATTTCCAAAAGATTTGAGAAAAGGCTAGAAATGCCGAAAAAATACATTGTACAGCATTTTGTTTCTTCTACGCAACTGTTATCAAAGTCGAAAAGTTGGATCTGGAAATTTTAAAAAATTGCGAAACTCAGGGTAGGTAAAAACCATGGGTTAGAGATTCTGGCGCTAATCAAGCGGATATTGAAGGAATCTGAACAAAAACATAACCGTTTAGAAAGAGGAAGAATTTCTGCATCGAACACCGTTTAGAGTGTTTGTTCATCATTGTTTTGAGCGGTTTGAGCATGGGTCTGAAAAACGGCACGAACTTTCGGACCCACCTAATAATTTTATTCTGAAATATCATATAAGTCAGGAAGAAAAGAAGTCTATTCGGAAGAGGAAAAAAGCTGCATAGAATGATACCCTGGTTGCTCTTCGCATATTATTCTGCGAGGATTAATGGCCCAATATTGAGTTTGATAGCATCAGAAGATTTTCAAAAATTTTAAGAATCAGCTAGATGCCAAAAAATACATTGTATAGCATTTTGTTTCTTCTATCCAAATGTTATTGAAGCTAATCGAAAAGTTGGATATGAAAAACTTAAAATATAGCGAAACTTAGGGTAGGTAAAAAACATGGGTTGGAGATTGTGGCGCTTATAAAGCGGACATTGAAGAAATCTGTTCAGAAACACAACCGTTAGAAAGAGGAAGAAATTCTGCATTGAACACCGTTCAGACTGATTGTGTGTCATTATTCTGAATGGTTTGAACATGGGTCTCAAAAACGGCACTAACTTTCAAATCCACCTGATATAAAGCTGAATGTGTGTATGTATGTCTTTATGTCTGTACGTATGTGCGGAATAGAAATTTTCATTTCTGAACCGATTTGGACCAAACTTGGCACACATACACTTCGGTGCAGGGAGCGTGGCATAGGCTACTTTTCGCTATCGATCGATATCGAATTTATCAATTTTTATCGATTTTTTTGCAGAGTTCACCTACGGAGCTGGGAGTTGGCACAGAGGGGTGAGCATGGCGATTCCGAATACAATACTAGTTTTCAGAATTATCGATTACTTTTATCGATTCTATCGATTTTTTGTAAAGTTTGAGCTACAGGGCTGGGAGTTGGCACAGGAAGGGGGGGGGGGGGGTAATCGAGCATGATGATTACGAATACAATATTAGTTTTTGGTATTAGCTATTACTTTTATCGATTTTATCGATTTTTTTCCAAATTTGAGCTGAAGGACTGGGAGTTGGCAAAGGGAGGGCAAGTGGGCATGCTGTTTTCGAAAACAACACAGGGAACGAGAAATGAAGTGTAGAAGTGGGCACAGGGAAAGGCTGCACAGGGATAGGGACGGGACCTTTATTACAGTGTTTTGACAGGGCCGCGCGGAGCCGGGTAAGCAAGCCAATTGTAAATAAACTGTGCAACTTAATCCTTACAAAAATTTGCAATACAAAAGAGCTTGAAGTCAATTTTGCCAATATTGTGTTACTGAAAATCATATCTTTTGATGGTAAGTTAGACTAGCTCGAATTTTTGAAATATGATGGTCATTAAACTTATGTTACTAATAGTTCGGGCTTTGATACAAAGTTCTGGCGAATTTTCTCAAAAACATGTCTGGACCGGATGGGAAGACGCTGAAGCCATTACGAATAACATTATTCCTTTTCCATTTATGTTGCAATAAATCTTTCAAACAGAAATCTTTAAAGAAACCATGTCACATCCTGTCACATTTTCCTTCTTAAGCTCTAAGCCCGTCTCGGAAGTGGTTCCAATCGATAAAATGCTATGCATTGATGCAAACTTGGGTGATCTCTTCGCAGCCCTCCCTTATTCAATAAAATGGCATGCATTGATGCAGACTTGCGCGGAATTCTATTGGCATCCCTGCCCCCTGAAAAGGATGATCATGGCGGTGAGAACGCAGGTACAAAACATAGAGTACTCGCTAAGCGATGTGTCAGGATAATTCATTTCAAGTCAGCCAATTTGGAATACGACTGTGTTGCACCGGAATTCATGTGTGAGGGGCTTCATTGTCGATTCTGTTCCGATTTGGAAAGTACAACAGGAACCAACACTACATCTGACATATTCCATAAGTGTTTATCTTTTGTTTAAACTCAGGATAAAGTTTTGCGCACCTTCGTCTTCCAAAAAAAGATGCAAAGTTTTCGCATTCAGCTCTTTAGGCAATGAATGACCAGCCTTTGCTAGAGTTTTTGCTTTTTCTTTATCTATGTAAGATTAACAAGATTACTTCAGCACTACATAATGACTATCAGTGCAAATTCAACCGTATCAATGCGTGGCAGTTTCGAGATGTGCTAAAGTACATACGGGTACATAGGGATGGTCCATATGTGAAACAATATAATGTTTTTAGAAGTTTCTAGGGTTACATTTGATCTGCAGATATGCTGCTAATCCAGATATAGTGAAGTAGAGCTAGTAATTACTCGGTAGCTATATGGACTACACAAGTTCCGAACTATGCACTCTCTTTCCGTGTTCCTTACCCAGTTGCGGAGATATAGCCCATCATACATAAGCAGCCATAGTGTCCGTTTAAGTCGCCTTTCACGACGATCATAGCAACAAGCTTCGTAGCAGTACTTGAGATTCCAAAAATGTCTTTCTTGACCGATTTCCCAATAATTCGTCAGTCGCCGCACTCCACGAGAGTGTGCAGAAATCCGCCTCGCATCGCCACATGACCCTTCGATAAAGGACGAATTTTGTATCCAAGGACGCTGCTTGACTCAGCTCGAAGAGACGCATCTTCTGATAGGCAGTGCCGCAATCTATCGGGGTGCGATAGATATGCGGTATGCAGACAGTTTTCGCTAACTTCTTCAATTTTTGTGTAGATGTATTACTCAGTGTGCTGACAAGAACGTTGTCATTGATTCGCTGTTGATGGCACATTCTAGGTACATTGCAGAAGTATGGTTGAAAATTCGAAACATTGCGTATGGTTGATCTCACGAATTAAGTTCCTTTCCTCTTTCCTTTTTTCCTTTAGCCAGAGAAGGATCTCAAGCAGCGTTGGCGATCTTAGATGATCGGTATCATTGAGTTTGCCATGTAAGCTGTTCAATTTTACCTTCTACGTTTGGAACGGTTTTTTTGGGTTTATGGGCATTTAGATGTCTAAACTTCGGCAACAACCGACGCCATAAAATTAAAGATTAGCAGTTCAATGACAACTTTTCAGTTCATAATATAAGTCTTCTTCCTTATACGCAGTACGCTGAGCATTACGATTGAGATCTTTTGAACTGTCTTCAAAGCACATTTTGCAGACATAGTATCTTGGGGAACTCATACATTCAAACGCTCACTTCTTTCAGAGAATCTTAGCAGCTATGGAAGGCAGATTCCGCAGACAGCGCAATATCAGACCAAATCCTATTGAGGCGGCGGTATTGTTTCCCAAACTCATCAGCTGATGAGAGCACGTAGATCGTATCATCTGCTAGGTGCTCATCTGCTTGCGTGATTGTCATGTCCATTTCACGTGACGTAACTACAAACTCGCCACCCTTATCGCTCACCGAAATCCTGATCTCCCCGGCGTTGCATAGGTTACGGACTTCGCGTAGGCCGCGGCGCTGCGCAGTAGTTAAATTACTATTTTCGCGTTTTTTGGCGGAATTATTTAGTGGAGAAGACTGCGGTGGAAAAAACGCGAAATTTAGTATCTACGGCACTATCAGGCTCCTGCGGCTTGTAATACAAGCGAGGAAATAATATTACCGGCAAGGATGCGGTTGTTGCAGTTTCCAAACGCTTTGCGCGTTGCTCCTCTTTCGCTCTGCGCCGCAGTGCCTCATGAACATTTTGCAGGCTGCCTACGATCCTGCGTACGACCCGAGGCCCTATTGATTGGATTGGAGAGAAACTTGGACCTAGATCCAAGACAGACATTGCGTCATCGGAGATATGTGTATCACCTATAAGAGACACCCGTGAGAAAATAGGCACATAAACCGAGCTGTCCTCAGTATGGTCTTGATCTTTCGAACTTAGGCTAGTACTAAGTGCTTGTGGACTCTGATTTCGCATTACATTAACTAAATTCTCGAACTTCCTATGAAGTCTACTTTTGACATCAAACCGAATAAGATTACATATGACCTTCGACTCACCCACAATTCCCCTCCAAAGGCGGTCGGGCAGAAGACGTTTACAACACTCTTCCTTATGAAACATTTCAACGACATCGTAAACATCGCTGTAGATCTTGAACTCTTCTGCTTCGTTCGGGTAGGCCGCAAAGTTCGTGGAGTTTCTTCTTGCTGATGAAGTTGGGGATGACTCCATGTTGAACGCAGCGGCGGAGAACGATCTTCTGTCTCATGGAGAGCACTTCTTTCAAGAGCCGAAAACATGTCGCTGGTACGTCGTTCAGGTTGTCCAGGTTCGGTTGTCTCTCAACCTTGGCATGGCGGGTACTCGTAATGAAATTGGCTGAGCGAACTTCCAAGGTTAATAACACTTCTTTATTCGCTAACGTTTCGGCGCTTTCGCCTTCTTCAGAGCCTCCAAGCCGAAATCATATGAGCTTACTCGCTCAGACGTCAACAAAAAACCAAGGTATCATCCGAAAACAAAGCTAATGTTGAATCATATTCACAAAGTACTCACCATAGATAGCACAAGACGGAAGTCCGAGGACCACCTATACACAAGACATAACCTCAGCTTTATTATACGTGCCTTGATGACCCGGCCTCATATTCAAATCCGCATAGGGACTGATAAGGCTCAAATTCTCTGTTTCTGGCGGAACACTCCTCCTTCCGGTTCATTTTTGGATTTTTGGCGCTAATCCAAAACGCTTCTAGAGTCTTGCGCGTGAGGATCTCGGGTTCTGACGTCAAGATCTTTACAGAAGCTTGTATAAGAGCCTTACCATGGCGCGTAATACGATGTTCCCCTAATGGCGTAGCTGCTTTCAGCTTATTCAAAACTCTATATGCTCCTTAACACGACAGCAGAGCGGACGTTCAGTTTCGCCAAGTAAGTGTCGCCGCATGATAAGCACGTAATGAGGCTAAAAGTAAGGCTCCTATATAAGTTACTGTAAAGGTCTTGTCGTCAGAACCCGAGATCCTCAGCGCAAGAACTCTAGAAGCCTTTTGGATTAGCGCCAAAAATCCAAAAATGAACTGGAAGGAGGGGTGTACCGCCATAAAGAGAGAACTCGCGCTTTATCAGTCCCTATGCGGATTCGAATATGTGGCCGGGTCATCAAGGCACGTATAATAAAGCTGAGGTTATGTCTTGTGTATAGGTGGTCCTCGGACTTCCGTCTTGTGCTATCTGAGGTGAGTACTTTGCTTGTGAATATGATTTTGTCGGCATTAGCTTTGTTTTCGGATGATACTTTGGTCTTTTGTTGACGTCTGGGCGAGTAAGTTCGTATGATTTCGGCTTGCAGGCTCTGAAGAAGGCGAAAGCGCCGAAACGTTAGCGAATAAAGAACTGTCATCAACCTTGGAAGTTCGCTCAGCCAATTTCATTACGAGTATCCGCCATGCCAACGTTAAGAGACAGCCGAACCTGGACAAACCAAAGTTGGGTTTTTTAAATGCATCTTAAGCAATTGGGCGATGGCACTTGGTTAACAGATAACGGATTCGATAAAATATTCTATATTTGACCGGCCTGCATCTAAGTGCAGCCGTACCTTTGACCGAAAAAAAGCTCAGAAAACAAAAAGATTGCGTTTTTGTATTCTTTTCCGCCGAAAACGTTTTTATTCGAAAATTTCCCTAGAATTTGAGACAAAAATTCCCAAATAGCCTTTTTATAGAATGGAGTGTTAAAAGTTTACGAAAGCTTTTGGAGTTCAACAAAAATGAGCAACTGCGCTTAAATATTGCGCAGAGAGTCGTCACATAAATGCTGGTTCATCTCGTTATGGAGTGAGTTTCAACATCCGCGACGTTGTCAGTGCTCATGATCGTGTCACGAGGATCACAACGATATATAATTTTGCAGAGTTTTGTTAAGGTAGGCGCCAGACTAAGCGACTATTTTGTTCAGCTGCAAAAGGCGCACAGAATCAATGTCTGCTGCTTAATGTCTAGGCCTGCTTCAGCTGCAGTTCCCGCGCAGAATTAACGTCAATTCTATGCGCCTTTTGCAGCTGAACAGAATAGCCGCTTAGTCTGGCGCCTACGTAAGACACCCCGATCTACGAGCAGAGCCAATGCCACGTGGTTCTGCAGATGTGGCAAGAAGTCTGTGGGATATTTGCGGGTGTAGATACGAATTTTTCTTGATGTTTTGGGCGTATGAATTTTGTTTTCGGCTTCAAACTTCAAGTGGAAAAACTTTGTATACAGGTTGGTATATAGGCTGTTGAAGGTTATTGAGTTTTATGTCCTCCTTGTCCTTTTCTCTGTTTTAGTGCATCGGTGGCATTTTCTATTTAATGCAGAGTCTGGTCGAAAACAAATCTGGACATCAAACTAGATTGGAAAGACGGTTTTCATCCTTCAACAAATGTGCAATTGGACCTATATTTCCATAATCCGCATGCCTGTACAGAGAATTCGGTCCTCGCTCCTATGTTGAATGCACTTGTCCCTGAAGTACTCAAAAAGGCGATAATGGGTGAAGTAAGCTATTCCAATTCTTGTTCTTTTGACAGCAAAATATGGTGGAAATTTAGGTGGATAAAGCAGTAAACAACCAACTGAATCCTTTTATCCAAAAACTAAAAGAACGCGTATGGAGTAGCTTACATGATGGTGAAATCTTGACAACGATACCGACCTGCAATGGGAAGTGCAAAACCAATATTTGCGAGTCGCACTGATATCCAAAAGGCAGGTGCTTTTAGTTTTCACGATGTAAATGTCACAGCTGAGGTTTGAAACCTCAGGCTACCTTGCTCGGTTCTTACGGCGCATTTGTGAAACTTCTCCTAGGCAGCAAAATACTTAGAAATTACTTGCGCGAAGCTAGGGCTAAGTCTAAGAAGGTGTTCGCGAAATATTGAGCTGCTAGGCGTGACACTCAAATTGAGACTCCGCACATTTATTGATGAGAGCTCGAAAGCAGTAAAATCTTTTCGACTGAACTTTGC